CCGGGTTTGCACCGGTAAACCACCGAGCGATCACAGGAGACGGGTTCGCGTAATACGCGCAGCACCAAACTCGTAGCCACGTCGAACAGGTGGTGTGAATGCAGCGGTTGAGTGTTTTAGGAGGCTGGGGAAGGAGCTTGTGGGAATACAGCCGTAGAACCACACACGGATGAACTGCATTGAGCGCTGATCGTCCGCTGTATCGTGTGAACCCGGAAACCCAGCAGGAGCAAATCCTGGTTAGATCAAGCGTCGGAAAGCCTGCCTTCGGATACAGCTGCATTTCCCAGCATCCTTCAGCCTGGGTTCTTCTGACTGGGGCTGCAGAGAGTTGCCCTTCATTGCCATCTGGCGAGTTACGGTCCCCCAGCCCTCTCTGACTGTCCACTTTCCCCAGATGGGAATTTTGGGTTGAGAGAAGGCTAGCCCTGTTGGACATCAGTCTTTACATGCCTGCCTTCTTACATCTTTTGTTCAACGAGTAGAAATTCAGGTGGATGCAAGAAAATGGTGGTGAGGCACTTTTAATAAAACAATTTTTACCCTCATTGATTCTCTGAGCCAGGCCTGGAGTGATTGACATGTATTGAATTTCTGGGTTTTTTTTTAAACTGCCCTTGAACCCCAATTATCTTGATTGTGCCCCAAGCTATAGGGCAGATAGCATGATGTGGGTTCCTCTGCCCTCCTCAAAAATTCCAGGAGCGCTTGGAAAAACTGGCTTGCAAACGTTCTGGTTGCAAAGGAGACACTTCCAGTCTTCAGTTGTGAAGGATGACAACTGCCATCATCTGGGGGATGGGAAATGTCATGAAAATACATGTGTGGACACCACCCGTACAGAGAAGAACTACGCAAAGACAAAGATTAGCTTTGCCCCGGCCATCCGCGTGATAGAGGGTGTGGAACTCTAGCTTCAAACTGCCATGACACTATTAACATTGTCAATAAGTATAAATTCAATCGGAACAGCTGCCTTGGGAGACGCAGCGTGGCCCTGCTGAATGCTGTCATTCCGTCCATCTCTTCTTCTATACTCAGAAATAAACACCTCCGTCTTCTTCCTCTTCTAAACACGCACCCAGAGACAAAATGTAAAGTACTATAAATGTATTTTTGCAACGTTCCGGTAATACCCAAGTGAGGACTCTGCATTTTCGTCCGCAACTGTTCAAGTTACAGATCTGGGTTTACTCTTCAGATGAAGCTATGGTTTACTTAATGCTGGTTTGCACCCAGGTGAACATGGTTGGGTTCAGGCAGCCTTCTCTAAACCAGAGAAACAACACTGAGGCTTAATAGGCTGTGTGAAGCCAGCTGTGAAGAAAAGAAGAAATAAGCTTTGGAAAACTCTGCTAGAACCACCACTTTTTTCCCTGCGGCAGGCTGGTTTCTGCATCTTTTCTGAGCTGGGTGTGACACACAAATGGTGAAATGCAGAAGCAAAGTCAAAACAGCAAAGGGTTCTCCCACCACTTGAAAAATCCAAGGCTTAAAGTGGATGAAGTGGTGCGTGGTTAAGCTGGTTCATTATTTGTGGGCTTGGCTGCAACAGAGCCAGTAAGAAAATCAAACAATTGGAGGTTTGGTTCATGCATCATGACGGGAACGGACATAAGTTTGAGGCAGTGGAACCAGATTTTTTTTTTTTTAAGTGGCAAATGTAGCCATTTGTCCGTCTTTCTTATCTCCTTCCCGGTAAGGTGGTGCTCATTGTTGAGCAACATCTGGAAGCTGCTCCTAGACTTGCCCCCCCACCCCACCGTTGACACACGGTTGTAGCTGTCCCTTCCAGCCATCCCCAGTAATCCAAACCAATAATAACTAAATAACCCCATTGCAGCGGCAGGGTTGCGTAACAGGTTCACATCATTATGAGGACTTGCCAGCATGCAATGAGCGGGGCTAGAAGCGATGAACTCTTCTGTATGACGTCCTGCTGATTTTATGTTTTCAGCTCTGAAATGCCCAGAGCTGGACTGAAACTAACAAATTCATCAACCAGCTTCCCCCGTGTTGCCAAAAGGGTAATCACACTTCTAAAGTCTGGATGTTATTGCCAGCCGCAAAAGCTAAAGCCTAGCCAGGGAACTGGCTGCCTGTTGAGGAATGCGTGATCTGTCAGAGGTGGTTCAATGAAGCAGATCACTTGCCAGAGATCTGATTCTCTTGCAGAAGGGTTTTGAAATCCGGCTAAGCCCCAGGAATGGCGGGAGAGCTGCCAGCTGTCTAGCCTTGAGTCAAAGATGTCTTGGGAAACACGCACACGCACACACCCTCCCTACAAATTCTCTCTGACCCAAACCAGCCATATTCTAGACCTTCCTACTCAACTGACTTTTTGCTGGCCAGGTTGCAAACAGGGAAACTAAATCCCCGTCCTGTTTTCATCGGTTTGTTCAGATCTAACCCGTGAACATGCGACCACTTCTTTGGCCTCAAGGCTGCATAACTCAGAAGGAATGCAATCCACTGGAACATTCCCCCACTGCATTGCAAGGAATGGAAGTCTGGCCAAAAGTTGGTGGCGTTCAGGATGGCTGTGTTCTGCTGGTTGGATCTGCCTGTGCCCCTTTCTGATGCCCTTCGGAACAACCCACACCCACACACCCCTATTCAGCTTCCAGAGGTCACACACTGAACTTGCTTTGTGGCTCAGCTTGTGCCACTTGGCAACTCTCTTCGTATCGCTTGGCAACTGAGCCCTCTGCAATCCCATGGCAACTTTCTGGCTTTGAATAGAAGCTCATTCATTGATGTTCTTGCTCCTCTATGCAATATTTCTAACAATGTTGGAGGATAATATTGTAACCAGAGCAACAGAGGCTGCCCTTGAAAATTTCCATTACAGAGGTAGGAAGAGGGGAAAATACAGAGGACTGGGGTGATAGGCGTAATAGAGGAGATGGCTTTCAGCTCAGCTAAGAGCACACTCAGCTGTTTTGGAGAGGAAAATTGAGGAAGCCGGAGTTTTCCATGATCTCCTTGAGCTACTGACGGAATACATTGACAGACAGCTGGTTTTCTTTTCTAATTTCCTCCCTCCTTTCCCCCTGCGGTGTACTGAACTAAGTGACCAAAATCGGAATGCTTGTATCTGTGTGAGAGACCCTCTCCACTTTATACTTAAGTCATGGTTTGCTTAACCATGGTTAGAGTAAAATCTAGTTGGCTGGGTTTGCCCAGTGCACCAGCTGAAAACTCTGATTTGCAAACCACAGTGGCTGGTTACTGGGTTTCACAAGTGGCACTCAGTGAAACCCCAATCTACCACGTGGTGGCTTAGTTAGTGCAACCCACAAACCCTACCTGAGCAGGGAAAGTTAACCTTGAGGCACATGAGATTCCTTGTGACTCTTGTGATCCCAGTTTGCTCCCTGCCCTCTGCCGGTGCAGAACACAAACGTGTTGTTCTCGTGTGCCTGTGCCATGCCCTTCATATAGCTTTCATCGTTTCATTTGGTACCCATTTCTCACTGAGCAGATATGGAAAGAAGCCTGAGAGGAGTTGGACCTGCTTAGAACTTAGATGGGGGATCACCAGGACATTTGGGGACTGTCAGCTAAACTGGGAAGTTGAAACGCTATCCTGGAAAAAGGCAAGGGCAAATGTGGTCCATGTTGTCACCAGGAGCTGAGTTCAACCAGGAGACGTTTTTCCCCTTCAATGTAGCTTTGCTCCTGTTTATCAAGAAGGGGGATGGCTAGCCCCATAGTGGCCAGCTCTCCGCAGCCTGATTTTCCATCTTCTTGGA